GTGTGTGTGTGTGTGTGTGTGTGTGTGTGTGTGTGTGTGTGTGTGTGTGTGTGTGTGCATTGATTTTTAGTAAATTAAAAAATCATATCACAAAACAAATATAAACAAAGGTAGTAATGATAATAATTATTATAATGATAATTAAAATATATATGTAAGAATTAATTTACAAAATTCTTTATTTAATTAATATGCACTTAAACAATTAGTTTCAGTTATTGTATAATAAACACTTAGGCAGACACGTGGCCTCCACTGTATCCTCCTCTGTTTACTTTACTCAAGTATAGATAAAGTATTATTATTTCCTATGATATGTATCCCGTGATTTCATTCAGTGTACTAGTGTTATCATGGCACATCAGATAGCTAGGCAGCTTGGGGTCACTGGAATTAAAAATATCAGGAATTTAGGAAGCCCTGGGTTTTAGTTTTTCAGTTAAACGTCAGAGGTTGCATAAAGTTGTGACCATAAAAAAACCACCTCTTTTTTCTTCTGGGGTCACTGGCATTGGGTAGAATACACAAAAGGTGGTGATTATACGAGTTGGAAGCTAGAGAAGTTGTGTCAGTCTGTTAATCTGATTGCATTCAGCGAGAGTTGGATCGATATACATGTACATAGAATGATAATTTCATTGGGTACCAGCCATAAGTTATTATCAATTTATAAAGCACTGGGTTTCATATTTCAATCAACTGTCTATAGCAGCAGGTTGCATTATTATTATTTTTTTTCAAAAAAGAAAGAAAGAAAGGAATTATGACATACTAACTATTTAAAGGCCAAAAGTGAAGTTAATTAAAGCATCACTGATACATTTCAGCCTCATTTGCAAAGTAATGATTTGCAATTCCTAGTAGATAGATCCTGCTGGTACGTACTAAACAAAGAAGTAGTGTGTTCAAATAGTGAAAAAAGCAAAGGATTCCTGAAATGTTTCAAGATGGGCTATCATGGTGGTTAGATGGTTGCAAGTCCAACTTCAGACCACCTGCTTAATGTTAGGTGGTCTTCTGCTAGGATGTTGACTATCTGAATTGAGTGTCATCTTTTAAACCAGTTGAAAGCCTGCTTTGTTTCTGTCTGTATGAATTGCACATCATTTACCATAACACACTGTAGATTTGTGTTAGAGATCTTTGCATAATAAAGGTGATTTAAAAGATATTGTACAAATAAAGCTTACTAGCTTTTCCTGATGGGGCTGTCTCACAAAAGAACTTTTAGGCCTTAATTTTAGACCAATATGTTTGTTTACTTTGACATCAGATAAATCAGTAGTAATCCAATCAGATAAAACTGCAGCATTGTGCCTGTTTTATAACAAGAAACCATGGCCATATTCCATGTCAATCCTTTAAAAGATATTGCTACACTTATTTTTTGCCTGAAGTCTTTGTAAAACTGGCCCAGGCTTGAAGTACAATTTGCAATGATCTTTTTAGATCCTGACTAACAAAATTTAAGTGGAAAGAATAATTCTTAGCAATTGAGTCAAGAAGTATGAATGTAGGGTAATATTTGAATAGATGTCAAAGGATAACACCCATAGAAACCTTGACAATATTCTGTTATAGTTTTTTTTTAATATTAAGAATTTTACCTGATATTTGGCCAAGAATTTAATGCTGCAGAAATGGATAAAACAGGAGCGGATCCAGAGATATTTCCTGACAGTCTTCCAAATTATCTTTATTGAAGCATCCCCCATTTTGGAATATATCCTGACAGAAAAAAATTAATGCCCATCAATGTGAACTAAAAAAGTCTGACCTTCTTATGGAAGACCCAGAAGATGGCTTCCATTCACCCCTATAAAAATAATATTTTTAAGCGAAACTGTTGATCTGTTTAATGTATACAAGTTAGTGGTTAAAGAATCCTCTATGTAAATATATTTCCTATGACATTTTCAAGCATTGACACTTAACTGATCATCAGATCAGATTTTTTAGTTTGTTTATATGTATATTTTGCTTTTCATTTAATTTCTTTCACTATATTTTATTTGTAGCAATTGTAACAGAATTATAACATGAAGACAAAGGACCAACAGTTGAAGGTAAGTTTACCCATAATATATAAGAACCTCATGAAAATACATTCAATTGAATTGTAAAATAACCTGCATCATATTTTGTTATAAATGAATCTCATTCTTATGTATCAGATCAATATTGATATTCATATTAGAATTGGAGATTATGAACTTTGGTCCATCAATCAGAGTTGTAAATTTTGAACAAAGGGAAAAGACTATTCTAAAAAAAAAAAAGGATCATTTCTAAGTTGCTGGGTGTGACAAAAATGAGTGTGTTTTTTCATGCCTTCATTTATTAACTTTTCATCTGTCATTTAAAAAAAAAGGATGAAAACTGAAAATGTTAAATGTTAAAACTGAAACTATATAACACAATGTATCTCAAAATTAATATAACTGTTAATTAAAATAATCATTAATATTATTATTTCAAAGAGTCCTAAGCGACCTGCAGCTCCAGAGACCCCACGCAGCAGCAAGAGAGTGAAAGTAAAACATGAGCCGTTCCAGTTTGCAGAGGAAGTTCCCAGAACCCCCGCGAAGAGGCCAGCCAACAGTGGCAGCCAGGAGGTGCTGCTGTACAAGAAAGGCTCATTCTTTGCAGTGAGAAATGAGGAAGGTAAAACTAAAAACTTCAGTTTTAGTATATATATATGCACCTTTATTGACATTGCAGTCTGTTTCAAGAACTTTGTAACCTGCTGACAAATGGTCTAAAAATCTACTGGCGTGTAGCAAAAATGGGAATCATTTAAAATGTAATGATCATGTTTGTTTAAACAATTTTTCTTATGTTTACGCTTATTTCTTTTTTACAAACAGGTAGTTTTTACCTTTGCCAAGCACTGCAGCATGTCTTTCACAATTTCACCAAGCCCATCAAGGTACTGTGGCTGAGCACACATGGTACAGGCAATGTCTATAAATTGGACTATATGGATACAGTGGATCTAGAGTGTATAGTGTGCCGAGTCAAACTGGAGTACATGTCACGAGAGGTCTATCGGCTGCCAGATAAGGAAGAACGGCGTATCAGCTCAGTGCTTAATATGGTCCTTGGAAATTCTTCAGCATCGAACAACATAGATGAAGAAGGTAGGTGTTGTTCTTACTGTGGGAACAAAAAAATGATGATTTTATTGTACTTTATATTTTATTCAGTTTAGGTATTTTTAACCTGAGCAAGATTTGAAATAAAATTGGCAAATATTATTGTATTTTTTTTAATGCATAAAGGGTACAAAAAGACTATAAAGCCATTCGACAAATTCAGTTCTGCAGTGCAAACAGATAATATTAAGTGATACAAAGTGCTTTGTTTGCTGTTTTAACATGTAGATGAACCAATGAAAAAGAGAGCCAGAATACCCAAGGGAGGTCCAAAGGCATCAACATCAAATACAGTCAAAGGTCAGAGATTAATATTACTAGTAATATATATATATATATATATATATATATATATATATATATATATATATATATATATATATATATATATATATATATATATATATATATATATATAATTTATAAACATGCACGCATGCATCACACACCTCTCTCTCTGCCGGTGAATGTCAGACTGTTTGTGAATATGTAATAGATACAAGATGCATCATAGGCTGCAAGGTGTATATTAACTGAAATATTGGTATAACATTAGGAATTGTACCACATCAAATTTAAGCTGTAATATTCTATGGCTAGTAGATTTTACATCAGGTCAGTAACTTTAATCATCAAATTCAAATTATCTATCACATTTGATCAAAAATATTATATGCCTATTGACCTAGACATTGATTATTTTTTATTTCAGTTCCTAAAAAGACAGTTAAAAGGGAAAATGTGACAGATCCCCCAACACCTAAGGCCAAGAAGACCACCAAAAATGAGAAAATTGCTGACAAAATAAAAAAGAAAGCACGTAAAATGAAAGTTGTATCCAAAAAAGTAAAGAAAGTAAAGAAGGAAAAGAAGGGTAATGGTCTCATTCTCTTTTACAAAGATATTTCATATCAGTATAAATATCAGACAAAACATTACACTCTTTTTTTTTTGGAAAAGTGAAAAGCAGGTTGTCAATGTATAATTCATTTTTAGAAAAAATGTCAGGTATGAAGGTTGTACTGGTTATGTTAAGCAATGTTTTTATGAAGAAGTAGATTTTTCTCCACAGTCTTGGTGATTTAAATAATTTTAAGTGATATTTGCAATATGAATACTAGTAACATTGAATAAACATTATAGATTTATTATTATTATTATATAAAAATTATATTCGGGATTTTTATCTGTTGAAATATGGGTTTTTAATTTTGTATATTTATCCACAGATACCAAAAATAAAGACAAAAAGAAGAAAAAGGAGGTCAAGGCTGCCAAGGTTAAGGTCAAGGTTGACCTTACTGATCCTAACCGTCGGCTGAAACCAAACCCTGCTATCAAGGTCTGGGAAAAAGATCCCTTGTTTGAGACAAAGTAAGTGACACATGTTCTTCATTGTCATTTGATTTGGGAGGCATTTTTCTGTCCAAACAAAAGTCTAAGTACCCTAAATCTTGAACACTTAATTTTTTCTGTTAATTTTTTTATTTTGAGAAATAATTCATTATTCTTGTGTTTACCTTTTCAGAGAGAATGTGCCCTTTGTATCTTCCACGGCACATAGTAAATTAGTCATCAGAGCTGTTTTGATGAACGATATGAAACTACTCCAACAGTTAGTAGATGACCGCAAGCAAGTGCACTCTGTAAGCAAACAAATAAACTTGGAATTAAAAAAAAACTTGTCAGCCAGGATGCTTAGTAATTAAAAACAGTAGGTTAAATGCAGTATCAACTCAAGACAAAAATCCTATTTTACAAGACATTTTGTACCACGAAATCAAACTAATTATTTTTTTCTATCATATAACAGGTAGGCTTTATTTAAAAACAAAATATAATGTGATTCTTTTCTTTAAATGACTTTGATGTTGAAAAAAGTTTTTGTAAGTTTGTTTAATTTTCATATAGGTATCATGTCCTCGTAGCTTGGAGGTCCCTTGGTCTGCTGTACACTACGCCATCCTGAAAGGGAACCAGAAGGCGCTAAAGATCCTGGGAAATGAGCTCCATGAATCTACTCCATCACGAGTGTGTGAACCCTATAGCTTTCTCAAGACACAGGGAACAGGATAGTGAGTACATGAAAATGATATAATTTTTCTGTTTCTACATATAATATTCGCAAGGAATTCCATAAAACAGCACGTGCAATTTTTTTTTAACCCCATGTGTTGAGACGGGGATTCAAGATAGTGAATTACAGCAGTCATTATTTTATTGTTATGATGTGATAGTGAAAAGTGTGAAGACCTTTTTTATTGAATTTACTTCATCTTTGCTCCCAAAAAGTGAAGGTTATGTAGAAAAAAACAGTTGGCTCTAAAGTATGGTACACTGCTTTAAGGCACTCAAGGATGAATAGATGACCTTTATATAACAAAATTTTTTTTTTTTCCTGGAAATGTTAATTATGTTCTGTTATTAGGTTTATCACACGTTTTAGGAATATTACATTAATGTACATAGTGAACATTTGTCTTTTAAATAATAAAATATTAACCTTCCTGGGCAATTCAACTCTTCCCTTAATTATCAAGGTAAACCATCTCAAAACCATCCAGAAAATTACCATTCGTATTAATAAAACCATTTTTTTAGTTATAAGTTCCTATTTATTTTTAGTCATTCTCATAATATATTACATGCATGGTTTGTCTTTATTATTGATAATGACTAATGAATAAGTTAATTTACAAATGGACCACAGTATAGGAGTGATAGAGTTATTTTTCAATAAAAAAAAGTATTTGAAATTGATAGCATTCAAAGTAAAAGTGATGTGATGTTTTTGTTTTATTTTCAGCTATAACCGTCGCTCCTTGGGGATCCGAGCTGTCAGAAGACTTAATATGAGTCGTGGAGGAAAGGAAGGAAACAATGCCTTCACCAAAGTAAGTCTTTTCTTTCTTTTTTCTTTTTTTATCTCCAAAACCATGCAGAAAATTGCAACCCAGTTTGTATCTCATCCTTTGGAGATTCTGCATTTTTACACTTGGCAATAAAATTGAGAAAAATGCTTTTTCTGTTTAAAATGGGCAGAAATGGAGGAAGCCTTCATAGAAGTCGAAGAAGAAATGTAGTTTTCCATTTTTTTTTAGCATTCTCTGTTTCCAACCTTTATCTCTGTATCGTCTGTAAGACTTCAGACTTTATAAAACACAAATTGGTCATGCATGGTGAGAAAAGCATGCCTTTGATTTTGGCCTGATCTTGTAAAATTGTGTTTTAGATAAGTGCAAGAGCTAGAAATACCCACCAAATCATTTTTTTTCTCTGTAAACAGTGATATCAGGTTATTTTATTTCTAAAACATTTTTCAATTATTAAAGGTTGAATTGCCATAACTCTTTGGAAATAACTTTGTAATAAAAACACCAGGCTAGTTATTGATTTTACTTTTCTCCTACTTTATTTATTTATTTATTTATTTATTTATTTATTTATCTTGCAGGATCTAGATAAAGATGATGATGAGGAGGAACTGCTGCCATTTGTCTTGAAGCATGGTGTTTCTGCAGAAATGTTGACATTTTTAATGGTCAACAGGTTTTTAGATGTAAGAGAATCTGTAACTCCTTAAAGAGGGCATTCTTCACTCTGTTAGCTTTTTCAGGCTGAAACTGGATTTTTTAATAGACAAATTTTAACAATGGTTTATTTCCTATCAACATCTGTTATTGTAAATTGCAATTAATCATTAAGTCAAAAGTATAAATAAAATAAGAAAACATTGCTATTTTTACCATGTTTGATATGTATTGAATTCTTAGTACATGCTGATTCTGAATTTTAGAAAAATGAAGTTTTTGAACATATCTACATGGCTGTGAGACACGGTCATAACAAGTTGGCTTGTAAGTTGATGGAGGAGTATGACAACCAAGGAGGATATGCCATAGGAGGGTTCAGTAACTTTCACAAAGAAGTGAGTGCTTTGTCTTCAATATAATTGTGAGCAATGGAGGTTTTTTTTTTCTTCCTTTAAAGGTTGCTGAATCTATAACTTGCTAATTTATGAAAAATTGCTAATTTCTTAATCAAATTTTAAATTGATAAAAAAGTAAATCATTCCAAAAAAGACCAAATGTGTTTTTCTGACTGTGAAGAATTACAGTGAATTATAGAAAAATCTGCTTAGAATTTTTAATAGAAAAGGATTTAGTTTTTTATTGCCATTAAATAATAAAAATAAGAAATTAAGAAATTTTGATTTTGTTTAAAATGTTCTGTCAGAAGTGCGATTTTTTTCAATCTTTGCACCTATGTCTGTATTATATAATTACTGTCTCTTTAAAAGAATAATTTTTTGCACTGTTTTACTTGCATTTTGATTTGCACTGGCCTTAAATATTGTTATTTCTTAATTGAAAAAAAAAAAAAAAGAAGTATACTAACTTGATGATCAATAAGTGGACTTTATGTCTAAAATTATCATTTTAACTTTGTACTTCAGGCTCTGACTTTTGATGGGAAGCAAGATTGGAAAGCACCTATAAGAGAAGCCTCGGCCAAAAAGAAAGCCAATCAAGAAAATATGAAAGTAAGAAAATTGAATGGGCTTCTTTTTTGTAAATAAGATAATTCAACTTAATGTTAGGTACAGCAAACATCTATAGAATGAAAAACAAATCATCCATTCTTAGCATAGGTTTTCAAGAAAAAAGGCACCTAGCTGATGGCGTGAAGTGTCATAAAAGAGGGATATTAGCGTTACCTATACTTTCTTTTGTTTTCCAGTGTTCACCTCCATATATCTAAAACAATTAATCCAAGTATTTTATCAGGTCCATTTTTGAATTTAGTTAAGTCTAAAAAATTCACTGCAGTCTCAGTCTCTTAAACACAACATAATGCAAGTCAACTTCAAAACATTACTTCAAGATAAAAATTAGCTTGCCTTCTTCAAATTATTCAAATATTAACAGAAAAAAATAACTTCAGATAACTCCAATCCATTGTGCTGCCATCAACCCCAATGCTAAATACCTGGCCAAGTTGTTGTCTGCCGCCCCTGAGTACAACCTGATGGATCACGAGATGCGTAGACCTGTACATTATGCTGCAGCATGCACTGGCACTGGACCTCTGGAGTATCTGATTGGAAAGTAAGTGCAGGGTGTAGCTCTTATTTCTACGCGCACTGTGTTCTGCTGTTACGTAGTGAGTGGTGGTAGTAGTAGTTACTGTAGTACTTGTAGTAGTAGTAGTACTAGTGTAGTAGTACTTGTAGTAGTAGTAGTAGTAGTAGTAGTAGTAGTAGTAGAAGTAGTAGTAGTAGAAGTAGTAGCAGTAGCAGTAGCAGTACCAGTACCAGTAGTAGTAGAAGTAGTAGCAGTAGCAGTAACAGTAGTCAAAGTAGTAGTAGTTTATCTAAGGTTTGCTATGATAAGCTACCCTAGTGTTTCTTAATCTTTTACATTGTAGTTCAGTTTATTTCAAATTACTCAAATTTAGAATTAAATCTAAATTTAAGGGGTGTAAGTACATCAGAAATTGACAAACAAGGCTACAATCCTCTTCTGATAGCAGCAGAAACAGGCCGTGAACACAATGTGGACTTGTTGCTTAAGACAGCAAAAGGTAGGTGACGTGGGCTGTGTTGGGATTTATTGTCTTAATTACCTGCAGGCCAAATTATTTCAACCAAAAGTCAGACAAGTTTTTTAACTTAGACCAGCAGACCCAGACTTATTCAACCTTATGCTTAGAATCCTTTTTAAGTTGCTACATACTCAAAGAACCTCTCAACTGATTCATCTCAAATATCTTTTATTCAAAACATATTATGAAATCAAGGTATAGATTTTGCAGCTATTCACCAAAAAAGTAAAATTTCATAACTTCAACCATCTCAGTGTTTCAGAATAATCAATTTTTTTCTATTTCTTTTTTTTTCCACAGCTCAAGTGTCTCCAGATGAACCAGTAGGCAAATATGGTTTTGGTGGATTGAATGCTCCAAACAAAGCCTCCATGTGCCCCATACACTTAGCCATTATGAATGGTCATCAGGTATGTTGGTCTAAGTACGGGGGTCGGTTTTGTTCCAAACAACTTCAGTGAGAAAATTTGTCCTTACTTTTCATTTGTTTAGGTAGACTTTGGTGATTAAGGGAGAAGTGTTGAAATTTTCAAAAAATAAAAAAAAATGTAAGTTAAACATAAAGGCCTAACACACATTGTGTAAGAATTTTTGTTTTAAATTTTCTGCAGAAAGTGGTTGAGGTACTATTGAAATACGGGGTGGACATTGAAAAACCTTTGAATGCAGACAACGGGAAGGTGACCCCGCTGATGTTAGCGGCCAGTAAAGGGGACGTTGCCATGGTGAAGTTACTCATAAAGCACAAGGCAAAGATTGAGAAACTTGGTTAGTCAAGATTTTTCCCCATCACCTGAAAATATTTTTTGAAGGTGTAGATTATGAACTTACTCATAAAATGCAAAAAAGTCCTAGGCATATTTTTCTAAGATTGTGATCATGCACATTTTGGGATAGAGGAAGTTTTAAAAAGACAGAGTGATTTAGATGTTTTAAACAGTTTTTAAAAAGAAATATTTTAAAAACGTAACAGCAATTTAAATTGCACATGCTTTATTTAAAAATTCTTTCAATCTCTGTGTTTTCAGACAAGTTAAAGCGTTCTGCTTTTATGCATTCAATCATCAATGGCAATTTACCAGTTGCATCATACTTAGCCAGTCTGGGTGCAGACATCAAGCGTCCCGACAGCTCTGGGAACACATGCTTGCACTACGCATGTGCATATGGCTGGTACTTCTGCATGAAAATGCTGCTGGATGCAGGCGCAGACCCCAACCTCCCAAACGACTGGAAGGTACGTGATTTGGGTCATTTCTACTGATATCTTGAGCCTGCGTCACAAAAAGTAACAATTATGGTCTCACTGATAAAATTTGATAGCAGATTTAGAGAAATCAGCTTTGTAATATACTTAGGTTTAGAGCATTACACAAATGCTTGGCTCACAACATGAAGTTGACACACATGAATTGACTACTGTTATCACTGATAGTAACAATATTTATGAAGAAAATAAGAATTTACTCCAACAATTGGATTAATTTTTTAAGTTTATTAAAATAAGTATATATTATATTTGCAGTTGACACCTTTAGGAGTGGCTTACTTGAAGGGTCATCGAGGATTATCTGAGATTTTACTGGATCTTCCAGGGATTGACATAGATTTCAAGGATGAAGGGGGTGAGATGTATTCAATATTAGTTCCAGGTTCATTGGAGCATTAAATGTTTGCCAAATTTTGATAATGATTTATCCTGGTTTAGAAATGAGTAGAAAGTTTCTCTGGAAGAAAATTCTTTAACAATCATTATTGTAGTTTCGGGTTAATTTGCAATTGAAATTAGTTTCATTCCAAGACAAAATATGTCAATTTTAAAGAAATGTGTGAAAGTGTCCATTAACAAGCTTGAGTCCAGTTTATTAAAAGATTTTAAGTGATTTTTTGTTCCACTTACAAGAAAAGTGAACCTCAGCAAATGCATGTTTTTCACCTCTTGTACATAACTTTCCAACAGATTAAACTTGACTGTATGATTTTTATCTTTCAGGGAAAACCTTATTACTGAATGAGGCTGCCAAATGGGGAGAGAACCAGTATAAGAACATCTGTAAGCTGGTCAAGGACAAGGGAGCCAGCTGTACAGTAGTGGATAATGATGGCAATGGTGCGGTGAGTACACTCAGGACACTCATGCTACTTCTTAGGATTAGGAAATATTTGTTAAAATATGTAGAAGAACCAAGAATTGTAACCAAGTGATGTGATGAAAATCAAATACTTTGGTTAAAGAATTGAAGTATGAATTATGAATATATCTTCTTTCAGCTTCATCTTATAGCCAAGCAGACTCTGCCATTTAAAGTAGATGAGGTAAGTTGGCAACTATATATTACAGTTTTATATGATATAAAATCTGACGGAAAATTTTATGGAATTGTAACTAACTGTGAGTGTGAGATGGAGATTAGAAGCAATTTTTACCTTAAGTTTGATTATTTAGAGCAGTCAAGGGCTTGAATAGGTGTTTGGTTTGAATATTTCTTCCTTGGCATTATTTAGCATATTGTGTAGCTGAATGAAATGATATATCAATTAAGTTGGTGGAAATTTGAGATTTTTTTTGTAAAATTTNTAAGATTGTGATCATGCACATTTTGGGATAGAGGAAGTTTTAAAAAGACAGAGTGATTTAGATGTTTTAAACAGTTTTTAAAAAGAAATATTTTAAAAACGTAACAGCAATTTAAATTGCACATGCTTTATTTAAAAATTCTTTCAATCTCTGTGTTTTCAGACAAGTTAAAGCGTTCTGCTTTTATGCATTCAATCATCAATGGCAATTTACCAGTTGCATCATACTTAGCCAGTCTGGGTGCAGACATCAAGCGTCCCGACAGCTCTGGGAACACATGCTTGCACTACGCATGTGCATATGGCTGGTACTTCTGCATGAAAATGCTGCTGGATGCAGGCGCAGACCCCAACCTCCCAAACGACTGGAAGGTACGTGATTTGGGTCATTTCTACTGATATCTTGAGCCTGCGTCACAAAAAGTAACAATTATGGTCTCACTGATAAAATTTGATAGCAGATTTAGAGAAATCAGCTTTGTAATATACTTAGGTTTAGAGCATTACACAAATGCTTGGCTCACAACATGAAGTTGACACACATGAATTGACTACTGTTATCACTGATAGTAACAATATTTATGAAGAAAATAAGAATTTACTCCAACAATTGGATTAATTTTTTAAGTTTATTAAAATAAGTATATATTATATTTGCAGTTGACACCTTTAGGAGTGGCTTACTTGAAGGGTCATCGAGGATTATCTGAGATTTTACTGGATCTTCCAGGGATTGACATAGATTTCAAGGATGAAGGGGGTGAGATGTATTCAATATTAGTTCCAGGTTCATTGGAGCATTAAATGTTTGCCAAATTTTGATAATGATTTATCCTGGTTTAGAAATGAGTAGAAAGTTTCTCTGGAAGAAAATTCTTTAACAATCATTATTGTAGTTTCGGGTTAATTTGCAATTGAAATTAGTTTCATTCCAAGACAAAATATGTCAATTTTAAAGAAATGTGTGAAAGTGTCCATTAACAAGCTTGAGTCCAGTTTATTAAAAGATTTTAAGTGATTTTTTGTTCCACTTACAAGAAAAGTGAACCTCAGCAAATGCATGTTTTTCACCTCTTGTACATAACTTTCCAACAGATTAAACTTGACTGTATGATTTTTATCTTTCAGGGAAAACCTTATTACTGAATGAGGCTGCCAAATGGGGAGAGAACCAGTATAAGAACATCTGTAAGCTGGTCAAGGACAAGGGAGCCAGCTGTACAGTAGTGGATAATGATGGCAATGGTGCGGTGAGTACACTCAGGACACTCATGCTACTTCTTAGGATTAGGAAATATTTGTTAAAATATGTAGAAGAACCAAGAATTGTAACCAAGTGATGTGATGAAAATCAAATACTTTGGTTAAAGAATTGAAGTATGAATTATGAATATATCTTCTTTCAGCTTCATCTTATAGCCAAGCAGACTCTGCCATTTAAAGTAGATGAGGTAAGTTGGCAACTATATATTACAGTTTTATATGATATAAAATCTGACGGAAAATTTTATGGAATTGTAACTAACTGTGAGTGTGAGATGGAGATTAGAAGCAATTTTTACCTTAAGTTTGATTATTTAGAGCAGTCAAGGGCTTGAATAGGTGTTTGGTTTGAATATTTCTTCCTTGGCATTATTTAGCATATTGTGTAGCTGAATGAAATGATATATCAATTAAGTTGGTGGAAATTTGAGATTTTTTTTGTAAAATTTAATTTTTTTTTTCAATTCCAGTCAGAAGCTGTGGTTCAAAACTGGATATCAGATACTCTGAAAGTGGTGGAATTACTTCTAGAAAATGGCTGTGAAGTCAATGCAGAGAATGACAAGACCACACCTATCATGCTGGCCATCAAACAGCTCCAGCATGCACCTGCTGATGTCAAGTCTCATCCTTTGGTAAGTGACCTCGTGACCTTGAATTTTTCTGGTAAGTGACCTTGAACTTGACCTGTTACTAGGTCATCTTAAGTCAGACAGGCCCACTTCAGGTTTTGTCATCTGACAACCAACTAAGGGTCAATTTTTTTCTGTGTAACTTGACCAACTGATGATAATGGTTGGACCAGTTTCTAATAAAATCCTGTATTGACATTTTATGGCTTAAAATAAAAGCTAATGGAAGCAGATGTTAGTTTTAATATATTTATCAGGGGCAGATCCAGAGCTATTTTCTGACTGTCTTCCAAGTTGTTGATCCATCCTCTATTTTTGACCATCTTCCGACACAAAAAATTAGATACCCGTCAATGTAAACTTGAAAATCTGACCGTCTTCCAGAAGACCCAGAAGACGGCCTAAATCTGCCCCTGGTTATCTAAAATGCAGTCCACAGTGTTACTACTTAAATTGCCAATAAAATTGGAGTCAGACCAGCAATATTACTTAAATTTATTTCATTCTCAGCCACTCAGTAGATTTTTAGACCTGTAGAGCAGACTAAATTATACCCATTGAAATCCAAATCTACTGTTTCTATCATCCTCAGATTACTAGGAACCTGCAGCTGATCAAGCTGTTGCTGAGCAAGATGGCTGAAGTCCCAGACCAAGAAGATCTTTTTGGAGAGAACATCCTTCACATGATTGCTGAGCATTGTGTCATGAAGCCAGTGGGAATGGAACTCCTGGACCTCCTGCTGGATATGGAAAAAATTGAAAATAAGGTACATTTCATCATTGTTGTTCTTCAACATTAGGTCTTGGACCAAAATTCCAGTTTGATTCATGTAATCGATATTAAGCACATTATGACTAGGATATTGCCACCATTTTGTTGTATCAAATACCAACTAAAGCAAAGATCTTTGCATGTAGTGAAGTGCTGGATACCACCATTTAATTATTATATTTTATTTTTATAGAAGAGTGGTGAGTCAAGCAGCAAGCTTCAAGACATGGCCAGGGTCCGTAGTGGAGCTAATATCACTCCCCTAATGGCTGCAGGGTTTGTCTACAAGTCATCCTCCGTAAGTTTATACAAATAGTAAAAGTATACACAATCTGTGCCAAGGACATTTATTTTATTAATTTTTAATCCACTGGTTCTTCTGACCTTTAGGGTCTTAAATTTAATGGCCTAAAACAGTAACTGTGGCCAGTAACTTAACAAAATTACAAAATTTTGCTGATTGTCCCAGGTAGAACTAAACTCACTGACAAGTGTTAAAGTTGCAGACTGGGCATGATAATAGATGAAACATTAGGTGATTTTAAGCATTGGCAGGTATTTTATTCCTTTGATGTCAGATTTTTTGGCTTTGTTTGGTGGTAGTTAGAATATGTTAACTTTATCAAAGAATTTTAAAATATTAGATATATATGTTGACTTTGGTCTTAATTTTACTGGAACATGTTTTGGGATGTTCTGAAATGGCCTTACATATTTTTAAAGAAATAATTAATTATGAGTTTCATTTTTTGTTTCAGTATACCACAATAGATGAAAAACATCCTCGAGAACTTATTGAAGGAATTTGGGTAACTGGCAGAGCTTTCATCAAGAAGCTCATTGATGTATTCAACAGTGAAGTTGAGTACAGTTTTGAGGAAAAGAATGGAGACAAGATAACAATAAGTGAGCCTATTTTTTATCAAATATACATGTGGCAAATATTTAAGAAAAGATGGGGTGTATATATTTATTGACAAATATTTTGTTGATTGGACTACTGTAAGCAATGTAACAAATTTATATGACAAATTAGCTGTTTTACAGAATGTTCCCTTTGAGTTGTAAATTTAATTTAATTTGTTTGTTTAATGGTTTTCATTTTAATACTTTTGACTCGGAAAAGACAAAATGTTCTAGCTAACAGTTGTGCAAGTTTTTGCCAGTCATATGTGGAAATTTCATTGGTAATTTGATACTGAAATATCTTTAAGTCCTTTGACAGATCAATAAGATTACAAGTGTTTACATTGAAATCATCAAATGATGCATTTTGTCAACTTAAAGTCCAAAATAGTTCAAAATGAAAACACAATTTTAAGATTGATCATTTACATACACAAATATTTCTCTTATGACAGTCCACAAAAGTCTTATGTTCTACATGGTGGACAGCAATGAGATTGGAATGACAGTGGACGGGGAATATAAACGCTACCCAGGACTTGAGATGATCCTGAAGTACAATCCAACCATAGACCTGCCAACCAAAGAACAGCAGACGGCTCTCATGGTGTCAGTTATTAATGATGATTATGTTGCTGCAGACCTACTGGTATTATTTTTTTAACTTTGTATTTTTGTAAATCTCCATGTATTTATCTTTTATATAAATATAAATTCTATTTCGTTTCTATACAAATGAGGTCATACGAGATTCCCGTTTTATGCGAGAGCACATGCGCACTTGCGCATATCTTCACTTCCGGTTTCTTGTCGAGCGAGCACAGCACGTGAGGCCAGAGAGCGGCACAAAATTCAATGAATACTATGGCTGATAAGGTCGGAAATAGACCAAAAGTTACAAAATGCCGCAGGGCCACAAAAATCTTCCGACGGGAAGTCAAAAGAAGTGGTGACGCATCACATTTTCTAACACGGAATCAAACATTGACGCAGAATAACGTTAATGAGAGAAATGAAAATGGCGCGTCAACGAGTACCGATAATGCCACGACTGTGGTGGGAAAANTTAATGGCCTAAAACAGTAACTGTGGCCAGTAACTTAACAAAATTACAAAATTTTGCTGATTGTCCCAGGTAGAACTAAACTCACTGACAAGTGTTAAAGTTGCAGACTGGGCATGATAATAGATGAAACATTAGGTGATTTTAAGCATTGGCAGGTATTTTATTCCTTTGATGTCAGATTTTTTGGCTTTGTTTGGTGGTAGTTAGAATATGTTAACTTTATCAAAGAATTTTAAAATATTAGATATATATGTTGACTTTGGTCTTAATTTTACTGGAACATGTTTTGGGATGTTCTGAAATGGCCTTACATATTTTTAAAGAAATAATTAATTATGAGTTTCATTTTTTGTTTCAGTATACCACAATAGATGAAAAACATCCTCGAGAACTTATTGAAGGAATTTGGGTAACTGGCAGAGCTTTCATCAAGAAGCTCATTGATGTATTCAACAGTGAAGTTGAGTACAGTTTTGAGGAAAAGAATGGAGACAAGATAACAATAAGTGAGCCTATTTTTTATCAAATATACATGTGGCAAATATTTAAGAAAAGATGGGGTGTATATATTTATTGACAAATATTTTGTTGATTGGACTACTGTAAGCAATGTAACAAATTTATATGACAAATTAGCTGTTTTACAGAATGTTCCCTTTGAGTTGTAAATTTAATTTAATTTGTTTGTTTAATGGTTTTCATTTTAATACTTTTGACTCGGAAAAGACAAAATGTTCTAGCTAACAGTTGTGCAAGTTTTTGCCAGTCATATGTGGAAATTTCATTGGTAATTTGATACTGAAATATCTTTAAGTCCTTTGACAGATCAATAAGATTACAAGTGTTTACATTGAAATCATCAAATGATGCATTTTGTCAACTTAAAGTCCAAAATAGTTCAAAATGAAAACACAATTTTAAGATTGATCATTTACATACACAAATATTTCTCTTATGACAGTCCACAAAAGTCTTATGTTCTACATGGTGGACAGCAATGAGATTGGAATGACAGTGGACGGGGAATATAAACGCTACCCAGGACTTGAGATGATCCTGAAGTACAATCCAACCATAGACCTGCCAACCAAAGAACAGCAGACGGCTCTCATGGTGTCAGTTATTAATGATGATTATGTTGCTGCAGACCTACTGGTATTATTTTTTCAACTTTGTATTTTTGTAAATCTCCATGTATTTATCTTTTATATAAATATAAATTAAAACTGATAAATTTCTGCTAGTTTGGTACCGTTATTCATATAGTTTCTTTGCTTATTAGAATAACCAAAATGATTTTCTTTCTTACACTTGATTTTGGCACGGGGCTTTCATAAAAAAAGAATTGCAAACATATCAAAGTTATAGTTATTGTCATTTTTCAAGAAATTTCAGTCATGCAAGGAGCATCTTTATGTGAACTAATTTTGATTTGAGATTGATGATGTTCTAAATTCCAGCTTAAAGCAGGAGCAGATGTTAACTTCCGCTGGATGAAGGACGACTCCTCTGCAAACCAATGTAGATATACTTCTCTCATGTATGCAGTCAAGTGAGTATACACACATTATATTAACACATTTCATATTCACATATACACATCACATATTTACATATGCACATCATGTATTTACATATACACATCACATATTGACACATATGCACATCATGTATTCACATATACACATCACATATTTACACATATGCACATCATGTATTCACATATACACATCACATTTTTACACATATGCACATCATGTATTCACATATACACTCTTTAATACAATGTACTATGAGATTGAAAATGTTCACAGAAATAGGCATATTGATAATTTATAATTTAATAATTTTTGTGGTAAAAGTTCTGTTTAATACCAGCCTTGGGTATTCAGGAATGTGCCAGTGTTCCTTATTTAATGCCCTAATTTCAGTGCCATGTCTTTGCCAATGACCAAACTGCTGGTCAAATATGGAGCAGACATCCACGTATGTGAGGCTAACACTGGAAATTCTCTCCTTCACATAGCTGTCCGTAACTATTGTACAGGTAATGTCCGTAACTATTGTACAGGTAATGTCCGTAACTATTGAACAGGTAATGTCCATAACTATTGTACAGGTAATGTCCATAACTATTGTGTAAGCAATGTTCATTACTATTGTACAGGAAGTGAATGTGAACAATATGTATAGCTTGAAATTGAGAATTAAGTGGTGTTTTTTTTTTAAGTAATTTCAGAATTAATCTTTGAGATTTGCAGCCTGGATTAGTTTGTGTGCAGCATTTTTAATTTTTCTTTTGTGATATATATATTTTTACTTAGACTAATACATGAAATGATACTGTTATCTCGATTGAAATAAAAAATGACATGGAACTAACCTTTTTTGTAAGGAAAAAAAAAGAATAATACAAAAAATTTCAACCCAGATGTTAGTCTATTTTATTTAAAGGAGATCTGTATTGGTACTTTGCACTAGAAAAGTGATGGAACGTGAGAAAATTGCACTCAGAGCCTTTATTTACATGGTTGAAAGTTTTCAGGATCATGCCTGATTTCAGAATTTTTCAGTTTTCATTTTGATCGTTTTTATTTTATTTCCATAATGTGTAAATGCAATGAGAAATTGGAAGCTATGTTTCAGCCATGTATTTATTTTTCACAGGAACCAGGACAAAGGAGAAGCTGGAATGGGTCAGATACTTACTGGACATTGGCCTGGACATCAATGTAAAGAATAGCCACCAGAGAAACATTCTCCATCTTGCTGTCAACCTCAGCACGGATAGCGCAGACGAACCTCGCGACCTTGAGATGCTGTTGATAGAACGGGGCGTGGATGTCTTTGCATCAGATATCAGGGGGAGATTGCCACTGCACTACGCCTTTGTGAAGTTTGGCAGGTTTGTGAAAGTTGAACACAATAAATTATACATTATTTATAAATATAGTCCAGTAATCGTTATGTTTGCATACACAAAGAAAATAGGTGTTACTAATTGACTGCCAGATATGGTCAATTTGCCTTTAACAAGGTCCTGACTGCTATCCCAGGAAGTATTCACTTAGTAACATCTACTCAATCTGTTAAAAGGTTTCACGCAGGTTGTCCATTAGCAAATGTATACAAGTAAGCTTCATAATGTTCTGTTTGTGTACAAATTGTGATCTTTGGACCATGTAAAAGTTTCTACAGAAAACATCAGCAATTACAATAGCTGGTTCCAGTGTGTGCCAAAAGCTTTCCAGCCTACTGGTCCTTCAGTCTGCCAGGGTCTAAAATTTTTCTGACTAACAGAAAGAAATTTGCTGAAATTTCTAGGAAAATTCATTTTTTGGCTACATTTAGCTCAAGCTGTTGCCTTAAGGGCTTTGAATTTACATATTAAGAGTACATTTAACTGAAATATTTCAGGCACACAGACAGCTCTCGCACAGACCCGATAGAGATGTGCAGCATCTTGGCTAGTGCTATGAAAAACAAGGGACTGGATACCCCAGATAATTTTGGCCAGGCTCCCCTTCATACTGCAGCATACAGGGGAGCAACTGTGTCCTGTATGTTACTGGTACAGGTAAATATGCTTTTCTTCTGAAGTTCTGTAGTCCATTGATATTTTGGATTAAAATTGTTTCATTGAAAATTATTGATATACATGTATTTGAATATTTTACCTTTTGTCATGTAGCCTAATATATAAATATGTGAATGCAATTTTGATATGTTTGTTCAACTTCTTCTTTAAAAAGGTAACATGAATTTCATAAGGTATAAAAAAATAATGAAATGTGTAATTTTTTTACAAAACAGAGTTTATTGTAGCCTTTGCATGTGACTTATAAACAAGTTGGACCCACTCTAAAAAGGACTGCCACTTTGCTGGCCAACTCATTCAAAAGGTTGCACTCAATTCTTCATGAGATACAATAATATCCTGAGTACCACATACGTGTCTTTTGATTGCTATCACCAAGAAATAAAAACAGGTGGTTATGTTATGTTTGCTTTGTTGTTGTCTTTTCAGAAAGGAACTTATGTTGATGTGGAAGACAATAACAGCAACACTCCACTGACACTGGCTGTGTTAGGAAAACATGATAGGTGAGGGTTTGAAAGCAAATGATATTGACTGTGAATTACTTTGCCGCAGTAAAGCATTTGTTTTTTCTTCAGTCAGCAACCAATAAAACCAATTGAAAATGTTGTATACCTCCAATCGTTCTATGTCAATTTAGAAACATCAAGATAGATATTGAAATGGAAATTGGGTAATTTTTCACCTCTTTTGTCTAGACCAACGGTTTATAAATTTTCAAATAACTTGTAATGTCTTTGAATAATGAGAAAGGATTTTTTGTTCTTAGCTGTGCTCTCAGCCTGATACAGAAAGGAGCAGACGTCAACAAAACAATTGTTGTCAAGCATCCTTCAGAGTCCAAAGTTGCGCAAAAGCAGAACCCCAAGTTCATTTTTAAACCAGCTTACAAATGGCTGCCTCGGCACTGGCCTGCACCCCCAAAACCACAGATTGAGAAATTTCCTGTTTTTCAGGTAGTGTAATTTAGTAATTCTTAAATTTGAACTCAGTTAATCTACTATGATTTTTATTACCAGAAAAAGTTTTGCCTGTCATCTACAGCAGTGATGTGTCTCAAGAGATCTAAAAAAAGCATTTATAGTAATACCCCAAAAATAGAGAATGTAGAGGTTTTGTAAAGTAAGTTAAACTCAGATTAGAAAAGCATGTTTTAATGAGTAATTGAGAGTGAAGAATCTTAGAAAAATGAAACAATGAAAGAATTTAGTCATACGAAGATTGAGAATTCTGTAACATATTAAGCACATGTTCTAGTCAGAGTTGGTTTCATGATAATATAAAAAAGTAAAGACTTGTAAGATATTTACATTCCTTTTAAAGTAAAGTATAAAAACTTTTATTTAATATTAATTAATTAATTTATTTATTTTGCTTTGGTTCTTTCTATTAGCAACAAAATACTTATAATAAAACATATTTTCAGAGAGTAGTGGAAAATGGCTGGCAGGGTGTAAGCTATATTGTCATGGACTTAATGGAGTCATTTGGGATGAAGTATGCAACTGCAGTGGAGGTCAGTTAGATGTGATGTAACAATGTCTATGATGTCAATATTTGTATGATGTCACAATATATATTTGTGATGTCATAATTTATTTGTATGATGTCATGATATTTAAGAGATGAAGTTAAGGCAAGAGAGTTTGAAATCATATGGTACCATTACTTATTGTGCAATATAAATGATTTTAAAATTTTTTATGAGTTTTTTTAATATCTCTTTAGCACAACATTGTCCAATCAGTTTTTCTTTGACCTAGTTTGCAGAAAAAATCATTTTTGAGAGAACAGTATACTGTTAGAATGAAATCCCATTACCCTTTTAATGTTATCACTTTTTTGTGTTAGATTTTTTTCATTCATTTTAAAGTGTATTTTTAAAAGTATGATCATGGCAAAATGGATTCATCATATATCTGTGTTCTCTGCATTTCTAGATCTTTACCAAATTTCTTTGAAAGAAAATGAAAAAAAATATATTTTTCAATTTTTCAGATTGCATTTCGTATCCAGAAGATTCATTTCGCTTGCTCTTTGATCAGGAAGCAAGTGGATCACCAGAAACTTCTCACTGTGAATGATGACCAGCGTAATCTGCTGCATTTGATGGCATTTGAGAGCAAGCAAGACAGGCCAAGAGATGTGGTGTTGGAGGTATTTATTTATTTGTTTGTTTGTTTGTTTGGAAAAATTATAGAACGTTTAACACACTAATAATCCCATATGCCACTCTCTTCACTATAGGATTGTTTGAAATTTTTCAGGGGCCACAAATGCTGGTTTATTTATTTATTTGTTTGTTTGTTTGGAAAATTATAGAACTTTTAACACACTAATAATCCGATATGCCACTCTCTTCACTATAGGATTGTTTGAAATTTTTCAGGTGGCACAAATGCTGGTTGATAAAGGGGTCTCCCATAATGCAAAGGACAAACATGGCTGCACACCACTGCATTATGCTGCAATGAACCATGATAATCCTCTTTTAAAATTCTTATTGGGTAAGAAAAACTTTAAAACATATTGTAGATTAATATGCATATCTTATCTTGTAAAACAGATATTTTTGTTGGTCTAGGTGAAACTTTATGTATGTTGGTTAACTGGAATCTTCTTGTAACTTGAACAGATTTTTTTTAGTTTTATGAGTTTTGCAGAATCTGTTGTATTATTTTAGTAAAATAATGCATTTACAAAATTGTCTTTTTCTTTATTTGACATTATAATTATTAAATTTGACTAGAAAAGGGGAAGCTCAATGCCTCTTTCATTAAGTGAGGTGGAAATTATCTTTTAGTAGTAAACAAAGCCATTTCCTGCTGGCTTGAATAACTTGGCTGAGGCTGAAATGAATTTGAATACGGTAAATGACATAATGATACCCCAAACACATAAATACTGTTATACCAAACCATTCAGTTTAAATGACTGTCATACATTCATACCTTCAGATCGACAAGATGTTGATGTTAACATGGTGGACAATTACGGGCGTACCCCTCTGGCTGCGGCACTTTGGAACAACCCAAAGGAATCCCAATCTACGTGCCAGAGTCTTGTCTACAAGCATGCCAAGACTGACATGTTATTTGACTTTCCACCACTGGATTTATTCAACGGGGCCTATGACAATGCCTCGCGCAAAAATTGTGACTATTTTAAGGACAAAAATTCAGATGTTCAGCTGACTGTGTTGATTGTCGCAATAGTTCACAGGCATGAACAGTTGTTGAAGGCTTTGTTGACTTGGAAGGACCAGTCTGTGAATGTGGGGGACTCCAATGGAGTGACTCCCATCATGTATGCTGTGAAAACGGTGAGTAAAATATAATATTTTCTTTTTTTCTCTCTTCATAATTTTCACAAGCAACTTGCTATTCACTCTAGATGTTTCATTGTCCATTGGACTCCTTTATGTGTCAAGTACAACACTAAGATGGCACTAATGTTGGATTTCTTGCAGCACCAAGGGGGTGAGGGTTATTTTCAGGTAAGCATATTATTTCTTAGATGTCATTTTTTTATGTAGCATACTGTTTCTTATATGTCAATTTTATTATTTCCAGAATGAAATCAACTTGGTAAAAATACTTCTGGATCAACCTGACATAAAATTGGACTGCAAAGATAAAGCAGGCCAGACAGTTGTCCACCATCTTGTAAACTCTATGGAAAAAGCATCATATGACAATGTTGATATCTTGAAACTTCTTGTGGATGCAGATGTCCCTGTAGATGTGCCAGATAAGGCAGGAAAGATACCATTGGATTATGCACTGAAGATGGCGCCAGCATTGTCTGCAGAACTGCAAAGGATTATGGGAAGAAGCAAAAATCAGATGGTAGGTATTATCTAGGAGACAATATGAAGTAACTTACTAATAATATATGTTTAATCCTAGGTATAATGTGTTCTTTCGAATAGAATTGGAAAGTTTTGGCCTAAAACCAAAATTGTTTCAAATCATATCCTTTTTAGATACTTATTATTTCAATAAAAGAGATGACTGCAAAGCAGATGGACAGCAACACACTTCGCTGAGCACATAATGTGGCATAGATCATTGTTATTGTGACCTTGCTGTCAAAAACACAAATTTATTTCACCATTTACTTTCAATCTTCTTAGGTCTTATTCCTTAGGTTTACATCTGGACTTGCCATAAAGTCTCATCCATTTTACCAGTTAAATGTAGAACCGTAGTTGTAGAAACTTAATCAGAGAATTTTCTCAGTAAATGAGTATTTTTTTGGATTTCATTTTATTGAGGAAACACACTAGTAATTTTATTGTAAAGAAGGGCTTGTATATTAAAACTCACCAAAACACCCTGTTAAAAGCCGTGGTTTGATTTTTAAGATTTTAATATAAATCCTGTAGAAAGTTCCCAAGTTTCAACCCACTCCGGTGAAAGATGGAATTGTATGGAGTACTCCACCACCAGATGTCTCTGCTGATGCCTTGGCCATGAGGGGCCTATTGGAGGCAGAAGAGCTAAAAGAAATGGAAAAAAAGAAAGAGCCAGTTGCATCTCCAGATTGGAGAGCAATAGATTCCAGTTCACCAAAAGAGAAATGGTAAGCTGGTGATTTGGTTGCAGACAGATAATATTTTTCTTTCCTAAAAAGATTGCTGTTTTATGACACACATGTTCTTGACCCCAATGTGTAACATTTAAAATATCAAGCAAACTGTGGCCCTTTAATTCACACTGAGCAGTACAGTTTTCTGTGTCGCACTGGTTTGAAAGACAACTTTTAAACGTGGTAATCACATAAAAGAGGCACCTTTAAGGAGCTCCCATCCTTGGTATGGCCAGTTTAACTGGGTTGGTGCAACTGAACCCCCCCATATCCTTGAACCCTAACTACATGTGAGGACTAGTGGCACTGGTGTGATACTGAATACTGCACAGTGCCACTCAATGTGAAAAGGGCCTTCATTAAATATTGATCTGTTACGTACTTGTCCTTTATCAATATTGCCTTTCATTTCAAAAATTTTAGTAAATTTGTTGTGAGTATATGACTTGGAAATAGTTTTATAATTTTGATTTGATATTAATTTCATTTAAAACATCTCATCAGGGGTCATTAGACAAGATTTCTCACCAAAGCCTTTGAGAAAAGTTTACCTGTTTATGGCTGAGTCACTGTTTGTTGTTTTGTAGGGAGGTTGCAATGGATACCGCTCAAAACATTCCTTATGACATCCTGATGACCAAAGTGGACACTAAGTTTGGCAGCTATGGACTCTACAATTACTACAAGATGCAGGTAGGTTTCCATTTTGATTGGCAGGTGTGATTGCTAATTCCTCTATTACAATACTTGTCAATATTAGCATAAAAATGTTTTTTGATGTTTTTCTTATAGAATAATATATGTATTCATTCTTTTTTATATACATAGATTATCCATGATCAGGAAGGTCTGTACGTTTTGTTTAACAATTGGGGTCGTATTGGGGACTCTGGGCAGTTTCAGAAGACCCCCTTCAGCACCAGAGAGGAGGCTGTTGACGAGTACTGCAAAATCTTCAAGGCTAAAGCTGGCAATGACTGGAATAATTTGAATAAGTGAGGAAATTTGTTTTAATCAGTGATAATAATTTTAAAGGGAATTTATTGAAGGAAATTGTAAATTTATATTATATTTGGATTTTTTTTTTTCATTTTTGGTATAGATAAATTGGTCGTATGGTTGTTGATTTGTATTGCAAAAATATCATGGGTGACACACTGAATAATCAAGAAATAAGTACCTTTTTTTCACATCAGCCTTCATATTACATCTTTTAAAAACTTAAATGATCAAGGGGACAAATATCTGTCATTATGCACAAGACATATTTGTGGTCAACATAAAGAATAAGAATTATAGTGGAAACTGTTGACTACTTCCAGTTTTGTAAATCAGCCAAAGAAATATCGTCTGGTATCAGCAGACAAGAGGAGAAAGCAGACACGACCTCCTGTGAACTTTGACCTTCATTCTGACCTTCCATCAAAACTGCCCAGATATGTGCAGGACTTCATCAAGGATATTGTAAGTTGGGGTATTTTTTCAGAATGAAGAATATTATTATGAAAGAAGAAGATAACAGAATCTGATAAAGGAGGCAGAGTTTTGTGGAAAACAATTTAAACCTTGATAAGATTTTCTTTCTTTATCTGACTTTATTCAAAGCATGGTTAAAGTATTTAGTGGTATTGGTATGTCAGTCCTCGGATTTTTTTTACCCTTTTTGAAATGACTTTAATTTCAGTCCAGTGTATCTATGCTGACGAAACAGTGGGAGCGATGTGGAGTGGACCCTTCACTCTTTCCATTCGGGAGGATCAAGAGAGAAACATTTCAGAAGGCTATTGACCTTCTGCTAGATATAAAGTATGTCTGCTATTTTTTGTACCTGTAAATAAGGGACGCTTAATTTTGGTTGTAAAATGTTGGTTATTTTTTCAGTTCTACTTTTGAAAATGATCTTAATGGCTTTTTGTGTTGTTGTCATCAGATCCTTTTTAGTGAGGCAGTTATTGTTGAAAAACCATGTGGAACTTGAAATCATGTTTACGTTTATCTTATAAACACATTTCCTAAATGGCTTTAATTTTGTAAAGTTGTTTTATTATTTTACTTGATCTCTCATAATGATATTTTGATTTTTAGACCTCTGGTTAAAAGGAAAGATGAGTTGAGTAGAGATCTAACAGAAGGAAATTTACCAGACTATCAAGATGTCTGTGAAAAGGTAAGTTGCCCTGAGATTTCTTTTTTTGTATTTATTTCATTCAAATGTTTTTTTTTTTTTGCTTGTCCATCTGTAACATAATGGTCACCTTGGAAAATGCATCCTATCAGCCTAATTGTTCCCTACTTTTGCACTGAAATTATTCAATGATTTTGAATTGATGATATTTTAGATCCATGAGCACAGCAGTGAGTACTACCAACTTATTCCCAAGAATGGATACAAATTTGAACGTCTTACTCCTCTGGATAGTGAGAGGTCCATTGAGTCAGAGATCAACATGATCCTCTCACTTATGGAGTTGAACTTCACGGAGAGAGTGCTTTTAGCAGCCCAGTACAGAGCGAAAGGTAAATAAATTTAATATGTAGTTTAAAGGCACGCAATAAGAATAAAACTTTTTCATAGGAAAAAAAACTAATTTCCCTAGTAACTCTAATACTTTTATGGGTAAACCTTTTCTGTTGAATACCAAGGTATACCTTTTACAAAAAGTTGGCAAAATTGTGATCTTTAAACAGAATTCAAAGTTTCTTATTTTTGAGTGACTCTTGTAATGGAGATTGGTGATTGTCACTTGTAAAAGTAAGAATTAGAAAATTGAAAGCATGAAAACAGGATTATACGTCATAATTTTCTCAACAAATGAAGTATATTTTGATGATAAAGAAGAAATTGTTGGAATTTCCAGGAAAATTCATTGTTTAGTTGTTTAAAGGTCTCATGTTTTTAAATGCATTTCCATAAAAAGTGCTCTGCAAATTGAAAATATTATACTTAGTTAAAACCTTTTGGTTCTATGTTATACTCCTAGAATTCAGCAATTTGAAAAATATTTTTATAGGGTGTCAGATAAATAGGTAGGAATGAGAAGCATCTCTTGTTTTAACAGACTTTATTATGATCATAATTGTATTTATATTATACTTATTTTCTCTACAGAAATCAATCCCCTAGATTACATATATAGAGCTCTCAACTGCCGTATGGAGCTGCTGAAGGAAGAAGAGCCAGAAGCACAATATATTCTCAAATACATATACAATACTGAAGACACTGGATCATATCGGAGATATGGACGTGAGTATTTCCATAAAACTGAAAAATTATTGCATTTAAATAAGAGCATGGCCTCAGACTCAAACTTGTTTTACCACAATGCTCAGTGTGTGAGTATGGCAAAGTGCAGGAATTCCTGTACCAGCAAAGGACATGGTGTTCAAATTTTTCATGTATGACAGTTGAAATATTCAACCCAGTGGCTCTCTCAGTTATGAATCTTGAGACCTCAGTAAACTACTTGAGTAAAAGGTTGACCCAGACCTGGAACTTGTTTCACAAAGGAACTTTACTCTGAAAATCAATCTTATATTTTAGACCAAACTTTCAGTCTACGTTGACCAGTCCAACTAAATCCAATATTGGATGTGTTTTATATCAAGAAAAATATTGCTCATGTGTAACCTTATTTAATAAGCCTACTATCTAATTGATTTTTTATGAATAGAAGTAGACAAGATTTATTTTATAGTAAACATAAGATTGAAGAGATGTATTTCTAATGCCCACCTTTTTTGTTTGTAACTTTTAGCCAAAAATGAGCTCAATGTAGAAGCCATATACAGAATCGAAAGAGAAGGAGAAACGGAACGAATCCAAAACTGTACTGTGGGTAACCGCATGTTGCTATGGCACGGCACAAATACATGCAACCTGACCAGTATTTTACACCATGGCTTGCTGATAGATCCTCCAGATGTTGAAAAGCATGGCTCATTGTTTGGCAAGGTAAGGAATACTGGTCTACCTCCAGCAAATACCTAGCTGACTGATCTGGGATAGTACACTGCTGGATGGATACGGTAAAAACTTGAAAACTTTGTCACTTAAAAATTAATTTATATTTTAAAATGTGTAAATCCGACATGGCCATATTACAAAATTATCAAGAGGCTCATTTTCAAGTGTGACAAAATTGTCTTAGTGAAGAAAGTTACATCAGTAGGAACTCGTCTTACGACTAAATTTTCAAGACCGACTAAATTTTCAAGTTTTTACCATAATAGTATTTGCTCTCCATATGGTATAAGTCAGTTTTATCCAACATTGGTTTGTTTGTTAAGATATCCCAAGAAGAGACTTTGAGTCATTGCTTTGTATTTGAAAATATTACTAATCATTGAAATGTTAAAATAAAAACAGGATAACCATTATCTCTTACTACTTTCAGGGAATTTACCATGCCGACACCTTTAATAAAAGCCAGGGCTACTGCAGAAACTATTACTCTGAGACGGAATCCAAATATATGTTATTAGATGAGGTATGTTAACTTTCTGTCTGATAAAGACATGGCATTCAAGTAGGAATGGGTACAATACTGACTGTACACAATGTTGAAATATGGAAAAAAGCTTATAAATAACAGAATTATAACTGCATAATATTATTGGATTTCAAGCCATGCAGATGGCAGCACTGACCACAGGGGTCAGTATTTACATTTGGCAGTGCATTTATGGCTGGCATAAAAATATTTTTTAAATAAAAATTAATATCACTGAAAAATGTATGGAAATAAGTAATAAAGAAAACCTGTATATCTGCTTTAGGTGGCTGTTGGTAAAGTTGAGGAAAAGTCCAACTTTAACCACACGGAGACTTCTTCAGGCTATGACAGTCTGCTGGGAGCAGGAACTCAGATCCCAGAGCCTGGACATGACCTGACACTGGCTGGTGAGTGGGGATAATAATAATAATTATAATATAATTATAATAATGATGATGATAATAATAATAATAATGAGTTCTGTACATTAATCTGAGCATTGTGTATTATATTAATAATTATTAATAATGATTAATTAAAATCTCAAAATTCAGGAACACGTAAAAATTTCATATTACAAATTTTAAGTACTAAAATATGACCTCAAGTACAGCATCTGCATAAGTACTGCCAGAATTGTCAAAATGGAGGAAGTGGCAGCTTCCAAAGTGTTATTTATATGTAGCATATTAAAAAATTGCAAAAACCCACATTCATGATTTATTATACCTGCAGTGTTGCAGCCCACTTTTATGTTTAAGTGTAACCTCTGTTACATTCTAAAATCAGACATCAGTTGGGTATCATCTTTGTCAGTCATATTTTATAAGGGCTGTACTCTGTTATCTTTATATGACTTGCAGTATGTTGAGGAATTGTAAGTTTTCCAGTAGTGAGCAGACAGATTATTATTGGTGTCTGAAATCTGGTATTATTAAGGGCACATTTTGGCAAAGGACCATAAGCTTACTAAAATTGTGAATTGGCATATCCACGTTTTCATTTTTTTCTATCCTTTTTTTTTCCAATGGCATACTTGTTCAGTTAAAAATATTCTTCTGTTTGTTTTGTTTCCTGTTTCAAACATCACCATTGTATTTTGAACTCGAACCGTTTCCAACAGCTTATGAATTGGGCTGCTTTTACCTCAGTTTTAACTTTTGCAGACCATATTTATAACCTAACTCAAAGCAAGCCTAAACTGAAACAGATGGAAACAAGGCTGACATATGTCAGGTCTTACAATATAGAATTAGTTAGTTGATATGAAAATATGAGTGATAGTAATAGCAAATTTGTTTCTGCAATAACAATTATTTATTATTTCTTTATTTTTCTTCAGGAGCTAAAATGCCACTTGGAAAGATTGTGAACCGCCCCCAAAAAAAAGAAGAATATCATTACTATAGCCTTAGCTATAATGAGTATGTTGTGTATAAAGCAAATCAAGTTGCAATGAAATATTTGGTGCAATTTCAAGGATATTGATTTAAACAGACAAAAAAGACAAGTTCACTTTACTTCTAGGTTTGTTGAACTGAAATAAACAAGTAGTTAAAATGACTGATGAAGTCCTAATGAAATATTCAGTGCAATTCATAGGAATTTGATGTATTATGTGAGTGGCATAGTTTTAACTGCAATGGCCATTACTAGTTGTGAAGCACAAACAGTAGAGGGCAGCACTTAATAGCTAGAACTGACAAGACAGGACAATCCTAACCATCTCATGGATACTGGACACATGGGGCAGTATTGGCCATGGTCAGTATTTACCATGGGCTGTGCATTTATGGCTAGCACAGACATTTTTCCAAATTAAATTTAGCTAGGCTTAGGAATAGTGTTATTTTTATTTATTTATTTATTTATTTATTTATTTATTTATTTTGTTAATCTACCATAGACATATATTTGAATATGACCATGTTTAGTTTATTGATTTAGACATAGAGTAGGCGTGAAATATAAACTATATAATGCATACTATTTGTGTGAATTTGAGAGAGGATATTGACATAATTATGTAACAGAAATCAGAAGTTAAAAGAGTAATGTTCCTTTGATATGGAATGCAATAGTATATCAAGAAATTAGGATTGCATCCTGTATTGTGTCAAATTTTATCAAAATACGTTGTTTTTTTTTTATTTTGCATATATATTGTTTATTGCTGTACTTGATTATAGAATTTTTTGTTTCATCAGACTTCATTTTGGTCAATTATACTAAGGATAAAACAAGTTAGAACTGCCTTGAGTGAAAGCTGAGAAAATATAGGACAATTCTTTTATAGGAATATTGGTCAAATTATAGTACCAAAAGTTATAAAAATGTTGTTGTTTTTTTCATTTTTCATAAATATTTATTTATAAATTATATGTTTACTTTTGATGCAATTTACAGACTCATATGTATGGTTTGATAGTTACCATTTTTCAGAAAGATGTGACTCTGTGTTGAAAATTATTGTCCTGTATTTCCCCTATTCAGCCATTGTTGATTTGCTTTGTTTTACATATTTTTACATATTTGATTGGTTAAGTTTGCACCTAATGGGAGCCTTAGGTATATTTACAGGCAATATATTTTATCTGGAAACGTGCAATGCTTATGCTTAGGTATGGACGTGTATGAGTGTAGTGTGCAATTTAATAATTGATGTTTCAACATGATAGTATGTATATATGTTTATTCGGAATCTATAGCCATGATATTCCATTGTACCCTGTAGTTTGCAGAATGCATGGCATTGCATTGTTCTAAGGAGGGAATACTTTTAAGTTGATATTGTAAGGTGGATAATAATTTAATAGTACCTGTTACTTGCACCCTGTGATTTATAGTGCTAAGAGTGACTTCCCTTAACCCGGTGTGACAGAAATGGTAGTCCTAAGAATGGAAGTTTGGGTTCCCACATGATGAATACAGGTTAGGGTTAGTTGGAATATTGGGGTTAGTATATGGGGTGAATGGCTTCTGTACAAAATAATGGGGAACCGACTACGGTTACCAGCAGACTACCATTCCTGTCACACTGGTGGAACGAAACCGAGGGTCCATGTGACAGGCTTTGGAAGTCAGGGTTGTCACTTGTGCATACGATTACAATTGGAATAAACGTGTGGGTGTTGTGCAGGAGATTAAAAAACAGTTCATAAATCTGTCTGAGTCCCATTTTATGTGCAACACTACTTTTCAAACCTTTGGAGTTCAACGTTCAATACTGTTGAATGGAGCGGTTTATTGTGTTGTTATGCGAATTTGCTTCAAAAAGCAGACGGCACATTTGCCAATGCATCCTTTGAAACTTGCGAACATCCGTTTAAGATTTTTTCTGGGTAGGTGGTCTTTTTTTTCAAATATCCACTTATTCAGTTTATCCGTAAGCGCGCAACGGATCTGCATACGGTGCTTAATATATTGTTAAACGCAGACGATGTGAGCGATAGTAAACTCAAGAAAATTCACTGTGCTAGCATGGGGCTCTAGTTCAAGTGGAAGAGCGTTCGCTTAGCATGTGTGAAAGAAACGGGAATCAGTACCCAGGTTGTCCAGTGTCGTTTTCTGATTTTATCGTTTAATTTAATTGGAAGAAGGGCATAATATTTTAATATTGAAGTTGGATAAATTAAGGATTATTAGCCAGGCGTCTTTGTCTGATGTTAATTATGCGTCGTTCAAAAAATTTGCCACAGGCATTAAATAAAGAAAAAAGACCTTTGTTGAAAACTTAGAGATTGCGCATGTTACCCATGTGTTTAGATAAACGAAGCAATAAAAGCTACGACTAGATTATTAAGAAAGAATGCCTGAAGTATTATAATGGCGGACTTTGAATACTGGTTAAAGTTATCACAACTTGAACCTTGTTATTGATAAATCTACAAGTTACTCTAACCTTGTTATTGCTAAATCTACAACTTGAACCTTGATATTGCTAAATCTGCCTTGACAAGGGAATCTAGTTATTAAGGAGACTACACTGTCAATGGCGTGTTTTAACTCTTTATGGATAGACATTTTCAAGGGCTATTCTCAAACATGACTACGTTTATAATAGTTATGGATATTTTTTCTTTAAGCTTTGGTGCTCTGATGTATCTCAATACTTTGCTTCTCAGAGATGACTGGAGCAGACTATTATCATTTTTCTTTTGTTAAAAGAGTATAGAACATCTAGGTTTGGGGTCACGATGGATGAAAAAATTGGTTCGACAGCAGTGGGATTTGAACCGACGCTTCCCAAGAGACTGGTGCCTATATATGATTTCAATTTAGATCGAAATAAAGCAATGTTTTGGTCATGTGTGTAGCAAAACTGCAGTCCAGATGTAGCCGATAATCAGTGTAGAATGACTTTGAAAACTTATCGATCTCCCTCTCTAAAACATTTGGCAGCGGTGGGATTCGAACCCACGCCTCCGAAGAGACTGGTGCCTTAAACCAGCGCCTTAGACCGCTCGGCCACGCTACCCGATACAAGAGCTAAGTTTAGCACTGAGCCTTCCCAAATATTAAAATACGTTTGCATGTCAACCTTTACAAGTACTCCTTTCTTCTTTCATTCACATAAATGAATAAATTCAACTTATCTTACATCAACTCTATGCCAGACACATTATCATCGACTAATTATTGTCATAACCAGCATTAAGAATAACATGGACCGAATTAGGTCCATGAGAATAAGGAGCTTCTGTTCATGACAATTAATTCACAATAATTAACGTTCTTCAGATTATTTTGCCTAATTTGTGTATTATGTTCGAAGACAATGGCTATATGTCGTGTGAAAGGCTAAGTCTTTTACACGAAGGTTTAATAAATGAGAAAGGCCAAATGGCAATAGAAACAAAAAAAGAAAAATGAAAGAAATAAAACGATCTGACCAAGAGCTCATCAGGTAAAACATGCCACACTGTAGTTTATCATCAATTTGCTGAATTGCGACAGAGATCTGATGAGAATCATATCATCCCCAATCTAATATAAGGGGATATTGTTCAAATAGTAGTTGGTGAATTTTAATTTTAAAATAATTGACGCAACGGAGAGAGGTTTTAAGGAGCTTTTTTCTCAGGCCCGTCTTCAAGGAAGATAACGTTTATCAGCGCTGCAAGATAATTTGTTTATGTGTTTTATCGTCCAATACCTTCAGTCTCAGATATTCCCGGAAACTAACCTGTACAGTAGTAACATCATGCATCTGCTATGATGTATTTTGCCTTATTTATAGTTCAGTAATGTTTCAAGCATAGGTGTTTTTACTTGATCTCTCACTTGTCCAAGCATTTTCATTAGATGTTGCCTTATCTTCGTCATTTTATTTCACTGATGTGTACTTTCTGTATAGGTATTGTTTTATTTAAGAATCGCATGAATAAGCCCGAAAATAATGGCAGCAAAACTATTGAGACTTGTTGAACTATACATTTTTAATGCTGAAAGAAACAGAAAGTTTTCACACAAAGCTTAACCTCTAAAAGACAAAAATGTTTTGTGTATTACGAAAAATAAGAAGTTCATGCATCACATATTCGTGAGTGTGGAAAATATTCTTTAGCAATAAATAACGTGCTAAGTAAAGGGTAAAAAAAAAACTTACTTGAGACAATTTATTTAAACATTTCCAAAAGAGGTTTAGTGAAAATAATTTTTTAAAGGAGGTACTGAAAATGACCTTTAAAACTATTTGTAAACTGCTACTAATCGGACCGGGTGAAACGTGCGTGCTTATCATCATATTGCTGAACTCAAACAAAAAATGATAAAAATCCTCGCTTAGATCCAAGGAGGGGATCTAGCTCAAATGGTAGAGCGCTCGCTTAGCATGTGAGAGGTACTGGGATCAATGCCCAGGTTCTCCAGAAACTTTTTCTGCTCAATGTATTAGATAAGTAATATCTGACACGAAGAAACGTTTTAAAGAATGGTTGGTGACTATCTTGAATAACCATATAAAAAGCATCAAAACTCAGATTAAAGTTACAAAATTTAAACCTTATTTACAAATATACCTGTTAGAAGAGCCTATCATCTCATCTGCGTGTTTACCTTTGCATTTTAATTCATATTTAAATAACTGGCGCGATGATGAGAGGTTTTTAAGGAGTAATTTCTCGAAGTTATTTAGAAGATTCTTTTAAGTTTATGCAACAGGATGTCTATGTAGCGATACTTTGGCGGTGGTAGCAGTGTTGAATGACTTCGTAGATGCAAACTCTAAACAAAACATTTGGCAGCGGTGGGATTCGAACCCACGCCTCCGGGGAGACTGGTGCCTTAAACCAGCGCCTTAGACCGCTCGGCCACGCTACCCGATTCACGTTCCTAATTTAGCACTGAGCCCTCTCCAATATTAAAATACGTTTGCATGTCAACCTCTACAAGTACTCCTTTCTTCTTTCATTCACATAAATGAATAAATTTAACTTATCTTACATCATCCCTATGCCCGACACATTATCTTCGACAAATTAATTGTTATAACCAGCATTAGGATTAAGGAGCTTCTGTTCATGACAATTAATTCACAATAATTAACGTTCTTCAGATTATTTTGCCTAATTGTTGTATTATGTTCGAAGACAATGGCTATTTGTCGTGTGAAAGGTTAGGTCTTTTACACAAAGGTTTAATAAATGAGAAAGGCCAAATGGCAATAGAAACAAAAAAAAAAAAAAAAAAAAAAAAAAAAAAAAAAAAAAAAAAAAAAAAAAAGAAAGAAAGGAAACGATCTGACCAAGAGCTCATCAGGTAAAGCATGCTACACTGTAGTCAATCATCAATTTACCTGAGCTTGACAGAGATCTGATGAGAATCATATCATCCCCAATCTAATATAAGGGGATATTGTTCAAATAGTAGCTGGTGAATTTCAATTTTAATTTTAAAATAATGGACGCAAAGGAGAGAGGTTCTAAGAAGCTTTTTTCCCCAGGCCCGTCTTTAATTATCTGGAAGATAACATTTATCAGAGCTGTAAGATAATTTGTTCATGTGTTATATCGTCCAATACCTTCAGTCTCAGATATTCCCGGAAACTAACCTGTACAGTAGTAACATCATGCATCGGCTCATGCATCTGTTAAGATATTTAGAACGTCTTGAATGATGTATTTTGCCTTATTTATAGTTCTGTGATGTTTCAATCAAGGTGTTTTTACTTGACCTCTCACTAGTCAAAGCATTTTCATTAGATGTTGACTTATCTTCGTCATTTTTATTTCACTGATATGTACTTTCTGTATAGGTATTGTTTTATTTAAGAACCGCATGAATAAGCCCGAAAATAATGGCAGCAAAGCTATTGAGACTTGTTGAACTATACATTTTTAATGCTGAAAGAAACAGAAAGTTTTCACTCAAAGCTTAACTTCTAAAAGACAAAAATGTTTTGTGTATTAAAACTGCAGTCTAGACAAAGTCGACAGTTGTATTGGTGTTGGTAATCGGAGGTACTGAAAATGACCTTTAAAACTATTTGTAAACTGCAACTAATCGGATCTTCAGCTAGGTGCGTGCTTATCATCATTTTGCTGAACTCGAACAAGGAATGATGAAAATCCCTTAGCACATACATGGAGGGGATCTAGCTCAAATGGTAGAGCGCTCGCTTAGCATGTGAGAGGTACTGGGATCAATGCCCAGGTTCTCCAGAAACTTTTTCTGCTCAATGTATTAGATAAGTAATATCTGACACGAAGAAACGTTTTAAAGAATGGTTGGTGACTTTCTTGAATAACCATATAAAAAGCATCAAAACTCAGATTAAAGTTACAAAATTTAAACCTTATTTACATATCTACCTGATAGAAGAGCCTATCATCTCATCTGCGTGTTTACCTTTGCATTTTAATTCATATTTAAATAACTGGCGCGATGATGAGAGGTTTTTAAGGAGTAATTTCTCGAAGTTATTCGAAAGATTCATTTAAGTTTATCAGCTATTTCGGTTCACGTGCTCGATTGCAAAATATTTTAGTCCCACACGTTTTGATGACTTATGCAAAAGGATGTCTATGTAGCGAAACTTTGATCTCAATTTTGTTGGTGGCAGTAGTGTTGAATGACTTCGTAGATGCAAACTCTAAACAAAACATTTGGCAGCGGTGGGATTCGAACCCACGCCTCCGAAGAGACTGGTGCCTTAAACCAGCGTCTTAGACCGCTCGGCCACGCTACCGGTGCTGTGATAAGCTAATTCAACGTTTTTGCCGTCTCCAGTATTATGCGTTTGCCTGTGAACCACTACTGGCGCTTCTTTCTTCTTTCATTCAGGTAAATGAATAAATTAAACCGTACGGTCTTGGTCAAAAATGAGCACAACAAAGCTAATTCTTTTTCAATGCCGAAAGAAACAGAGAAAAATACACAATCCAATCGTCTAATAGGCACAAATATTATTTTGTGCATTACAAATAATACGAAGTTCATGCATCGCTTATTAGTGAGTGTGGAAAATGTATATCTAGCGATGAAATAACATGTCAGATAAAATTATGTGGGTTTCCATATATATCTACTTATCTAAGTTATTCCTTTATATGCGTTTACACTCATTAAAACATGCGTTCGTTTATTTGTTCTTGCACTCATTTATTCAGTCTTTCGTTTATTTTCTATCTCAGACATTTGTCTTCTCATCTATGCTGTATCTGTTGTATCTATTTTAACATGAATTAAACACGCAGATAAGAAGTTGACAGGTTATTATATCATGTAGATTTATAATTAAGCGGGTGTTAACTTTGTAACTTTTATGAGAGTTTTGATGACATTCTACATACATACCAATCGTTTTCTAAAACGGTTCTTTGTTTCAGATATCCCTTATGTGAGGTATTCAGCAGAAAAAAAAATTGGAGAACCTGGGCATTGATCCCAGTACCTCTCACATGCTAAGCGAGCGCTCTACCATTTGAGCTAGATCCCCTGTGGAAGTCTTTGAATGATTTTCATCATTCGTTGTTCGAGTTCAGCAAAATGATGATAAGCACGCACGTTTCACTCAAGAACTGATTAGTTGCTGTTTACAAATAATTTCAAAGGTCATTTTTAGTACGTCCTTATCTTACAGCTCTGATAAACGTCATCTTTCAGATAATTGAAGACGCGTCTGAGAAAAAAGCTCCTTAAAACCCCTCCCTGTTGTCCCCATTATTAATTCACCACAATACCCCCTTATGTCTGTCGAGTTCAGCAAATTGATGATAAACACGTTTTACCTAATGAGATCATGATCAGATCGTTTTTTCTTTTTTTAATTGCCATTTGGCCTTTCGTATTTTTAAACCATTGTGAAAAAGACCTAACCTGTCACACGAAAAAAAAAATAGCCATGTCAGAAATATTCTTCCAAGATAATACAAAAATAAGGCAAAATAATCTAAAGAACGTTAATTATTGTGAATTAATTGTCATGAACAGAAGCTACTTAATTATTCATGAAGTTGGTAATGACAATTAATTTGTCGATGATAATGTGTCAGGTATAAAATTGATGTAAGATAAGTTAAATTTATTCAATTATCTAAATGAAAGAAGAAAGAAGTGCTTGTAGATTACAACATGCATAAGTATTATAATACTGGAAAGGGTTAACTATAGGTCGGGTAACGTGACCAAGCAGTCTAAGGAACCATTCAAATCGAGAAGAGCCGAGTGCCAGTTAGGCCGCGACCTAAATATGGCGGACCTACATAGAAGAAAGACCGCTTAATCCTGTAACGGTCTCTCCGCCTCTCACACGGCTTTCCACGCGTCGTCCCTCGACCAGTTGAATTGAGCCGAATTTTAATTACTGTGCCCCTGCAGGGACGACACGTGGGGAGGCGTGTGAGAGGCGGAGGGGTCATTACAGGATTAAGCGGTCTTCCTTTCATGTAGGTCCACCATATTTAGGTCGCGGCCTTGCTAGCACTTGGCTCTTCTCGATCTTGGCTCTTCTCGATCTTCTCGATCGGGCGCTTTTATTGATAAGCCTGCCTGCCATGTTCCTAGCTATATGACTTTAAGTGCTTTTATTTTCATTTGTGTTACACTGAGGTTACGTTTGACTTCACCTGGGGCGTTATAGAGCACGTTGAGATTCAAAGCGGTTCACAACTTGACGATTTTAGTTTTGAGTAGTCTTTGCCATTTGAAGTGTAGACTGTGGAATTGCCCCGGGGACTGTATGACCATACGAACAGTCTTGATAAGCAAAGAACATACAAAAGAATGTATGAATGGGTAAAGCAATAGCGGCATCGCTACTTTTGAAAAAAAAATGAAAACTTTTCTTGCAGATTATGCCACCGAGAAAATAACAAAGGACAGTATGACATGCATGGCATCATATGGGGTCAGCAATTGACTCCATTCAAGTTTGACCTGTGACGTACCTGGAAAAAGATAGAGTTCAATGAGCTTCCCTTCGTCAGCATCATTTTAAGGAGTTTAAAGTGAAGAGAAAAGAAATATTATTGACGATGCAAAGTTGATGATAATGACCAACAATAAGTCAATGTCAAATCGATCACTTATTGTAAACAATACCGTTTTTGTTTTTATGCCAAAGGTACATATCAAATCACCGTATATATCTTTAAGAAATAAATCTACTAAAAGAGAAGTAAGATCTTCATAGATGCATCACTGTGACGACAACTTTTTTTATTAATGATGCAAAAGGTAATTTGCGAGGACCCACGAGAGCCCGCATTCGCTCCAATGGCTTCCCGCTCCCAGTGCCAGTTCGACGACGTTGTTGTGGTGAACTGACGTGCGTCTTCAGGGATTCGAACCCGTGACTCTACGTTGCCATGTTTGGTGACGACTTTGCATTTGTTTTTTCCAGCCGTGCACGCTACCGACTGCGCCATGACTGACCCGCCCACCCTCCGTACATACGAGTTTCCTTTTATAGTATCGAACGCAATTTTTGCAAATTATTTCTGGAAAAAAATTACAGTCGCATTCTTGAACTCGAACCCGAGTATGCGTGAAAGCCTGTGTGCAAGTCGGTGGTGTTACCACGTTGCCAGACAAACTTGGTTAGTGGTCGCTTACTCAAATGGAAACTTTCAACCTTCTCATGGAGAGGGCACTTTGGATATACACGCATATATATGAAGTTACGATCGATAGCCTGGGTGCTGCATTTCTTTCCAGAGTCACGCCAGGCCCCGAACATGGTCTTCTTATTCAAGTTTGTCACGTCCACTAGGCCTTGTTTGGCAACCTGGGACGGAGCGTTCCTACATAGATGGCATTTCTTTTAGCATCAGTCAGTGAGGAATTGTTTGCTTCACCTATGACGGTAAAAAAACCACAATGGTGTCAAAGGCCGTTCACACCGGGACGGTTTTCGCTTACGCAAGGCCCTATGAAGAGGGAATCGTTAAAAAACGTTCAAATGTGTAAAGACTGGTGCGCTTTCCATTCTACCAACGATGCTCATTTTGAGGAAAAAACACATATTTGGCAAATAACTCCTCCCGGTTTTACGTAAAGGAGTTTTACGTAAAGATTTGCCTTTTAGATAATTTGCGAATGGCAACTTCGAACTCGACCTAGGTGTCATATTTATATGATTTAATGCACTATGTACCATTTCTAAACAAAATATTTGGCAGCGGTGGGATTCGAACCCACGCCTCCGAAGAGACTGGTGCCTTAAACCAGCGCCTTAGACCGCTCGGCCACGCTACCCGTCAAGTCTGCCTCAACGGTACACGGAACCGTCTCCAGCATAATATGCGTTTGCATTTCAGTGTTAACAAGTGATTCTTTCATAGATAAATATCTTAATTAATGTGGTCTTGCATCAATTGTTGATGGAAGATATTACTGTGAATAACATTAGTAGGAATAAGGGGCTTCTGTGCTAAGCATGTTTATAACTTTTTAAGGGATGTATTTTTATTTATTTTTTTTATTTTGTTTTGTTTTGTTTTAATTGCCCTGTTACTTGACCACTTTTTTAAGCTGAAAAGGTTATAACTTCTGTCAGATAATACTTCTTATTACTACGTAATTACTTTTGAACATTTGAGTTTTATAACATTCCCAATACTTCACACTCGCAAAAATGGAATAGCGTTATTTTGTTCTTTCATTTATTCATTCAGTATTTTGTCAATTTCCTTTCTCAATTATGTCTTTTTATCATTTGTCTTCTTATTCATGTTACATCTTCCGCAAGAAGCTGATTATTTGAAAAACGTTTCAATGACAGTTTATGGACTTTTGGCGTTTAAACAAATACAATTATTCAGAACCCTTGATAATTTTCTATAACTGGCCATCGTCGAAAAGAGCGTTAATCAAAAACAACATACTGTTGGAATGAGCATACGTCTTAAAGTTAAATGTATACTTCACGAGCGTGAAAGTTTCCCACAATCATATTTCTATATCTCAAAACCCTGCAAAGCTACAAATCTTTCCCAACTCAGACCTTAATAACTACAGACTTGACATTTAATATGNAATAAAAGTATCTGACGTCGATATTTTCTCATACAATGTGCTTAAGGCAAGGAGATCTAAATGACTAGCCTGCCTTGTAAAACTAAATCATTAAATTAAAAATGGAATAAGGCATCGCATCCAAGTGCTGGAACGGGTCGAGAAATGATTTGAAAGAAGGAGAAAATTTGTTTTTGTTTTTTTTCGAGGAGTATTCATTCATGGCTGGTAAATACCTTCAAGCTTCTTCTTCCTTTGACTTCACCATTGGACAAAATAACGTAATTTTGGCCATGCTTCATCCGAGTGAACGGTCAAATATATTCATTATATTTTCACTTAAAGCAGTGCTGGGGATTTGCTTTATTTTTTAGAAACATTGAATGTCATTTTAAAAACAGGGTGTATAAAAACCAAAATATGAAAGGTAATGTCCCTTTACATATCATTGTTCATTTACGTGTCAACAAATATAAGTTAAAAAGCATAAGCCTCTTCCTCATGGTAATGAGGAAGCGTAGCATATGTTAATGTTTGTCTCATATGTTCTCATTGTCCATGTCAAACCGACATACCTTTAAGTGAATAAGAAATAGTCTTAAAAGTTAGTCATATCAGTGAAGCTTGGCCCCGCCCCGGGGTACAAAAGGTTCATGTAACAATAACATCTATTCTGTCAGTCTTGTTAAAATCGCGTGTTAAAACAAATTACAATAAAGAGACTGTTGTTCTGGACTTCATGAGAAACGACAGCAGTAGAAATAGCTGCGGTCTCGACACTCACGATTGGAATGTTTTGCTGCATTTATCAATCCTAGAAATACAATTCTTGTCAGCATTGAGTATATAAAAAGGGAAACATAATGAATGCGGAGGCGGACATGAGAATTTGTGTTTCTGTTAATCGCTACAATGAGGCTACTGCCATAGAGAAAGGGAGCCGCTAAAATGTCCAATTCTGCCCTCTCCCACTTTTCATTCCGATGTCTACATTGATTTGTGATCATCGGTGAATAATTCCAATTTATGCGAACATGCAAGCGTTGGGTGTCATTAGTGCGTTCGCGCGAATGTGTGTGTGTGTACCATGCGAACATTGCTGAAATCATGCGCGGGAAACACGGATCCCGTCCCGTGAATCCACCACCGTGCCACACATGCAGACATCGGAGACAAAGATCGATGAGAGGTAGACATCCCTTCCTGACTTGCAGTGTCAGCCTACTTAGTATATGTTGAGCTGTACTTTGCAGTTTGAAATAAAAATAATAATAAAATATAAACCAGTGGCAGCCACATAAGCATTCTAACCCTTTGAATTCTACTGTTTGACAACATCACAGCTAAAATGCCCAAAATGCAAAACCATTACCAGAAGCTCTTATAACTACTGCCGGGAGAATACCACGTTTTTCTCTCGTGACATCCACAATGATAATTTTCTTATAGGTGAACAATGGTGTGGGTGACTCCATACCAGGGTGGCTTCAGTCCCACAGAGTCCAGTCATCTTGTGGACAATTCATTAAAGACCCACACAGACGACCATTTAATGAATAATTTAAAAACGAAAGAGTGTTTGTATTCATCTGTGTCCAAAGAGTACACTGTATACACCGTGAGTGCAGTGTTGTGATGTGACGAAACTCATTAAGGGCCCCTTTTTACCGCACAACAAACGCCGTTGTTTTAGCCGGACTCGGGATATACGCAGTTATAGCTCTGAGGCGGAGACTGGTACAGGCCAGAAGACAGCTAGCTGTAGGGAGGAGTGCGGGATATCGCTAGCAGAGCTTGGAATTTCCCGCAGCTTCCCTGAAGACAGAGTGCCTTCAGACTGCGGACCTTTTTTAAAGAATAGAACGGAACCAGAAGGACCAGAAAAGTCGCCGTTTTACACTGAAGTTGAACTCAAAAGACATACAACCCGCTGTGAAGAAAAGCCGTGAGTAGCAATTTTCTGTGAAAAGAGACATCTTTTCAGTTGCTTTCAATTATTCATACAAAAATGAACAAGTTCTTCAACGCACTGCTCCTGCTAATAACTCTGGCAGAATACGCCCAGCGTTCTGAGGCTGCCGTCTGCGACCGCATCACCTGTCGTCTGCCCCGATGCCATTGTCCCACCTCGCGGCCACCAGCAGGATTTCGACCCAAAGACACGCCCCAAATGGTTTTGGTTACATTTGACGACTCCGTGAATTTCAACAACATTCGTTATTACGAGGAACTATTCCCGAAGAACAATCCACTGAGAAACCCTAATAACTGCACCATCGGTGGCACCTTTTATACATCGAATATTGGCGTTGGGAATACGGTGTATCACCATATTCGTAAACTTTGGGACGAAGGGCACGAGATCGCCAGCCACAGCATCTCCCATCGCTCCCCTCCCTCCTGGTGGGATCAAGCGACGTACAACGATTACGTCGAGGAAATAGTCGGCGAGAAGGACATGATCAGCAATCAGGCCAGACTGCCGCCTGAGGAAATTCGTGGCATGAGGACCCCGTTCTTGCAAATCGGCGGCGACAGCCAGTTCAAAATGCTCTACGACAACAACTTTACGTACGACTCTTCCATGTTAACAGGCAAGTACAGCGCCGAGCAGATTCACAACACCCCTCCCATATGGCCATACACCCTAGATACCCCGCCAGAGAACTACCTCTGTGATATCACCCCTGGAAACTGCCCTAGACGTCCCTATCCTGGGCTCTGGGAAATCCCGCTTAATCGCATGTACGGCGTCGACGGAAAAGCCTGCGGAATGGCCGACAGTTGCAGGACGACGACGGAAGAAGACACCTTTAACTACCTTCTGCTCAACTTCCTTAACGACTACTACAACAACCGCAGAGCACCTTACGGCGTCTATGTCCACGCTACATGGTTTAACAGGAAAAATCGCTTCACATTAGGCGGACTGAAAAAATTCATGCGTTATATTAACCGCATGCCAGACGTTTACATGGTGACTTCGTATCAAGTGATTCAGTGGATGCGACAGCCGACCCGCTTGGCCGATATCAAAAACTTCCAGCCGTGGAAAAGCAGGCGTCAGCAATGCTGAGAGTTTTTTTTTTCTTTTTATCTTATTATAGAAAAATTACAGACAAAATGCTTGAATTGTGTTTAGTCCAATGCTGATTTTTTTCTTTGTTATTATACTCTGTGATTACATACAACATGCAAGATGCATGGAAATGTTTATTATAGAACTCAGATTTAGAGATATGGAATGTCTAACACCAACTATGATAGACTTTATCCTAACTGGAACTTTTAATCCCCAGATACATTGCATTTATTGTCACGAAAATAAATGGTATGCTGTATGAATAATACTGATAAAATATATATTTTACACAAAATCCCAGATATTTGTCATTTTACAAGTTAACTAAAACATGAATCGGAGAGAACCACGCGTGGAATTTAGTTTCGCAGTGAAAGTTCGCGAAGTCGAAGACACTTAATGCTATTTTTATCTTAAACAACTAAAGAACTTAAATTCTCCCTATTCTTATCTGTTTTAACATTTAAAAATCATTTTAAATTCTTTATTCATTTGTTTTTTAATTGGAAATGCACCGTATGCACGCCTATAAAAACTAAAGAAAAGTCTTTCAAACTACGAATCACCTCAGAAAAAAATGGAAGATCTGTAAATAGTTTGTTGCATATAATTCATGTGACAAAGCAACGTTGGCTATTGCTGATTAGACGGACAAAACCCCTCATGAGGCAAATACAAAATAAAGGCATATTCGAAGTCATGAAAAAATGTCACGCTTTAAGCAATATAAATAAGGAGTCAATTTGGACGATAGGAATACTAAACACCATTTAGAAGTTTGAAGACATCTCCAGAGTCACAATGACACAGTCTGTTCAGTCACCTTTCTTCGCGTGATGGAAGACATTGAAGGTACCGTTATTGTTGCCTTCACCGCTAGGATGTCAAGACAGAAACGGTCAACATTAATATTGTTCGTCTGAAGGCTGCGGTCGGAAAGATAAATAAGAATTATTTATTTAGTAGCATCTATTAGCATTTAATAGTTGTAAAGATTATATCACGCTGGTTAAATGGTGCATTTTTTTTTCTTTTTTTTTCTTTTTTTTTTTTGCGAATTTCTTTGTGGATTCGTGACAGAATGGGCATTATGAATATTGATAAACATCAGGAATATGTAACTAGAGAAAGAGAAACCAAAACTGCGGTCTAATATTAGAGAAGCTATTTCCATCGCCTAAATAAGCATATTAAAATGATGTAAAATATCTCGACCACAATGAGATTGTCGTGTCTTTCATTGGGGTAGACACAGGGCGTTTTAGGCAATAAAATAGACCCACAAAACCAAATTGCCATATGCCTTTTTTAAACAACGAATCGCCGAGACTACAGGATTTAAGTAATAAACTACGGAGAGTGCAGGGTATGAATCATTGACCCTCCAACTAATTAGCTAGTAAAAAAAGTTCGCTTAGTAAGTGTAAGTAACGGCATACTTAAAGTTATATATCGCGGGACAGTGACAAACATCCAATGGCACTATGTGGCACAATTATACGCTAGAGCTTTGTCTGAACAAAGCGCCATTTGTTTTCCACTTCACCATTTTCATGTCACATAAAAAAGTTTTTGATTCAGGTTTGACAAGTGTAGCCGTACTGTACGCTTCCTGAGGAAGCATTATGGATAATAAATGATATAGCATAAAAAAGGATAAACCAAGTACCCATTAAACTCGTTTGATGGGTCCTAAGACAAATGATGTTGCTGAAAAAATTTTTTAATCCCATTAAAATAAGAGATGGGTTACATAACCATATCTATATTGAATGAATTTGAATATTTGCAACGTATCATGGTCATAATTGACTGAGGTATTCGGAGCTGATTTAGTAACCTCAGTGCCGCATCTACCTCACAGTTTTTTTTTTTCATTTTTTTCAATACTTATCATAGGTGATTCTAAACTTAAAACTAATCTAAAAATTGTCCGATATATTTTACACCTAGTCGAAAAAATAACATACCCTGTTTTTCTATGTAGCCCTTTTTAGTTATCGACTTTGATCATGATTTGGATAAAATAGAAATAAATGGTGTAGTCTTTCAAAATATCATGCGTCTCAAAATCAGTTAATTTTTTTAATGTTGATTTTATGTTTGTCTATGTTATTTAAACAAATGACAAATATGAGATCATTGTACCAACTACTCAGTAAACCAGCATATCTTTAATGTATCTTTTAACAAATATACAAAGATCTTCAAAATAGTAAAAAAGATTCTTAAAATGGTTAAAATACCAACGCGTTCAAATGTTCATATGTCAATTAACTAAATATATACATTTTGTGTAGCAATAACATCTTGTCCCATGTCTGTATCTACCACAAAGAATAACGATAAATAAATCAAATAAATAATAATAATGACCTAATAAACAATTAAATCAAATGATTATTTTTCTGTGTAAGAACACATTGCATGGTCAGTTAACATCTGCAAATCGAGGATGCCTTTCATAGCCTCTAAATATTTTCCACCATCAACAACAATTTCACCAGAACCACTGCCCATTGTATGTTTTTGCTGCCTTTGAAATTCATCACGAACTTTAGCAGGATCTTTGTCACTAGTATCCATTTTTTCATCGAGTCCTTCACTTGTCAAGTCAACCTGTTGTGAAGCTGCAGATTTCTGACTCTTTTCTTTCTCAGCATCCTTTATAAGCTGCATGAAAGACTCCCTAATTTTGGCCTGCTCTGTTGTCATGTGATGAAGCACAGTTTCCATGGCAACCCTTTTGGTGTCACCATGGTGATATGGTAAGATAATAACATCATCTGGGAGATGCCCATACAGGGTATGGACTAGAAGCAGCAGCTGATTTTGATCCCTGAAATTTTAATAATAAAAAAATTCATATAAAAATATAAAAATGCCTTACCTCAGAACATTCTTTTAAATGCATTTCATTGGTTTTTTCCATCTCTTATCTTATCCTTGGAGAATATGTCAGAGTATGTGTGTGAGCTCTCATTTATATGTGACATTTTATGACTTAAAGTAATAAGTTAAAATCCTGCTCGATAAACAACACTACCCTCAGCTTTTACCAATGACAAAGCTGAAGTCTGAAATGTGCAAGATTGTGCTTACTTACACACTATCACAATCTCTCTAAAAATGCATTACTTTGCCTGTGTTAAAGCTGTTTGATCAGTTGAAATACCATTTACCATCATCATAATTTACAATAAAGCATGTTAATATAAAGAAACCTTAAAATCAAATTTTCCTCACCAT